GACGGGCGGCCGGCCTCAACATCGATATCAGATCGTGTCGCACCGGGCTGCGCATAATCAAGCGAGTGTACGCTCATCTTCACGGTTCATATAGATGCGCACATCCAATCGCATCGGTAGAATGACGAGTTTTCATCGGCTCCGAACTTTAATGCACTGCGCCTCAATTTGAAACCCGGGCGAGGGGGATATTCTAGCCAATGGCTAGCAAAAATATACCCAGTATATTTGTATAATTGATGCACCTCTCATCGAGATACAATCTCAGGGGAGAACATGTCGAACTTGCGCGGGGGATATGACGTCGTCCAAGGCGTTTTCTGCCGCGTCTGCAGAGATAATTAAGACGAAACCCGTCTCAGAGGGAAAGGCTGTATTTGAACATGAAAACCTAGACGAACATGAAAATGAAGAAAGGAAAGAAAAGAAAGAAAAGAAGAAATAGTGGGCAGGAAAAAAACAGGAGAAACAGGGGTGCAGGGGTTCAGGTGGAGTACCCGTAGCTTATCTTATTTAAGGGAGACACAGCCTCGGAGTACTTTACTTCATACATATGAGGCATCTAAAAAGACTACCCAAAAGACATAACGTGGCATAAGCCAACTATTCTTCTGTAGTATATTTAGGGCTTGAATTCATTAAAATTGATTCGTACAAATACATGTACCATTCCATCACTATGCACCATATAGTAACGCCGTCCCAATGCTGGCTTCCAACCACTCCAGATATAACATCCACAATAGTTAAACAAGATGAGAAAGTAGATAATTACAGTAAAAATAGGTCAAAGATAATACAAAAAGAATGAGAGAAAAAAGGAGGGGGTAGACAGCATTATGCTCGGGCCGTTGCCCGTGGTTTCCAGGGAGGACGCTGGAATCCCATTTGAGGCTGCTTATTCCCATGAGAACTAGGCCTAGGGGAGCTGTGGAAGTCAGGGTAGAGGCCTGACTCCATGTCCATCAGAACCGCCCGCTGGGGCTTTGCCGAGGTCCAATTGGTAGATTTGCCTTTCGGTTTGGTAGAAGGGGTGGAAGGGCCAGAAGCGCTGGCGCTAGTAGCTAACCTGGTCTTCTCCTTGATGATATCGCGAAGCTCCTTGTCATCCTTGGTGATCTGGGCTTTGATGAAATCAATGTCGTTGGAGGCTTGGAAGGCAGACATGACCGACTCTCGTGGGGTGTATGGGTATTTTTCGGGGTTTGGAGGCGACTGGGGTGTGATGGAAGGGTCCAGGAAAGCTTCCTGGTTCTTTTCCAGGAGCTGATTGATATCCAGCGTTTCGCCATGAGGAATTTTGTGGGGGTGCGAAGGAGTCACGCAGTCCATGTCGACTTCTTTGCGAAGCACATGGTCAATGTCGACGGCTGAGAAGTAGGCACATGATTGGGGAAGGTCATCAATCCCCACTTGCTGCGAAAATAAGGCACGAGTCCAAACATTGGCAATCTGCAAAGCCATTGCAGCGCGGTACCTGTCCTCATCTTTGACAAGGTAACGAATTTCATCGTGAACAGTAATGGCCAAGCGGGCTTGAATGTTGAACTGTCGGATGAGATAGTCCATGCCAACGATCAAGAGGTGAAGATAATCGACACCCGACGATTGAATGGCCCAATTGATTCGGGATGTCATGAAGCTGCCTTTGTTGATGAAACGTCGCATGAGCGCCTCGGTGATTCCAGCACCCAAAGCAGGGGTTCTAGGTCGTTCCTGATCCGCAAACTCTTCGAGTTTATTGAACACAAAGGATTCAGTGCCACCTCGCCAGAATGGCGTCTCACTCAAGAGGCGGCGGGAAGTACGCGTTCCCTTGGTCTCTTTGTATAGATTCTTAGCAGTATCTTGTGTTTGCCTTTCAGTCAAAGAAGGGTTGAATTGTCGAAGTAAAGTAGCGGCGAACTTAACGCCTGCGCCGTAGATTCGGCCGTAGTTGAACACCTTCGCATCATTACGCGATATTCCCAGAATGGACGCACTTCGCGAGTGAAGATCCGTCCCCTCAGCTTTGGACCCTTCTAAACACATGAAGCCAATTGCATTTCCTCCATGAATCTGGAATGAGGCATCGCCGACAAGACTTGCAATCCATAATTCTTGGGAGTCGACATCAGCCCCAACGAATGAGTAGCCTGGTGGTGCTTTGATCATAGCCTTTAACTCTGACCCTACACGGTTGGCCTTCGCGTTACTTGCAGTCAGCCAAGTATTTTCCACGGCACGTCGAGTTATAGTTCCCATGGGAATGACTTGAGGCAGAATGAATCCGACACGATTATCGCTTGTTTCACTTTTCCCTCCGCGTTTTTGCACCTGATCTTCGTAGACCACGATTTGACCCTTGATTCGATCTCGGGCGCTGATCCAATAGGAGCACGACGCGTTCATATCCAGCGCTTGTTTGGCAAGTTCATACTGAGATGACAATATGCCGCGCTCGAAATACTGCATATATCCTTTGCCAAGTGGATTGGTACATCTGGCCTGTGGGCCGTCTTTGTGGGGGATTTTGAAGTATGTAGCTTTTCTATCGTCTCGCAATTCGGTGTTCTTCTCCTCGGCCATATCGCAGATGACGACTGGCTGATTCTCATACTGTTTGACTTGATCACGGGGGACGCGGAAAGTCCATCCGTGCAGGTCCGACCAAACAAGAGGATAACTGTCCCATGAAAGTTTGAGCAAAACAGGTGCAATGCGAGTTCGCACCGTCAAATTGATCTCTGCGGCGTTTGAGGTAAAAAGATCCTTGTACCACTTCGGCATTCCTGGTTTCTTTTGCCTGGCGGCCGGCCGAGGAGGATCGCCCTTTTTCTTTCCTTTCACCATTTTGATCTCTTGGCCGGACCAGTCCAGCTGCTGCAGCCAAGGATCATTCGTGTAAATGTCTGGTTGATCTTTACACTTCAATGCCTCGTCGCATAGTGCTAGCAATTTACTTTGGACATCATCAAGTCGCTTATGATATGTTTCCTCTGCGTTGGCAATATATTCACCCCAGGATTCGTTGACTGGCAAAATGACAGAGGACAGGTGTCGAAGAGCGCCGAAACTGACAGGATGCGGGCAAGTCTCGAGATAGTTGGGGAAAACCTTCCGGTAGACACGGTGGGTAATGGCAACATCGGCGGCACAATAGTCGAGAAGTTCCTCCAGTCTGGCCACGATAGAGTCACGGTCAAGTTCACCGAAGAGGTCTCTCTGCGCCTTATCAATGGTGACATCACAATGGAATTTGGCTACATCACGCAGGGAGTTCACCGAGCTTCGCCCAACCCAAAGCTCTTCTTCTTCTTCCCTCAACATGTTGTTTTCGAGAAGTGCGGCAAGCTCCACGGAATCGTGCTCGTTCGAGATTTTATCCCTCAAGTCCTGATTCTTCTTGTGGCGCATCCAAGTTGGTCTTTGCTGTGAACACATGCCGTTTACCGCCACGTGAAGTGACATTGTGTCAATAAAGAAGTTTTGAGACTGCTGCATGTCGTACTCCTCAAGGACTCGGGCTCGATCGTAACCAATATTGTGGCCAACCACGATGCGAGGTTGAGTAGGGTCCCCTAAGGGTACTAGCTGTATTACATTCTCTGACTCTCCGAGCAGCCACGGTGATAGCCACGCATACCATGCTGTCGGGCTTACCGCACATGCCATGACTGCGAATGAATTATTCTTGTACATGACTTCGGTGTCGAATGTTAACATTGATTCATTAGGGGCATCGACAGGCTCAGAAGTGCCATCAGCATGGTATTTCGTCCATCCACTGCGCTTGACCCATTTACGTGGTTTGGCCGGACAATTGAGAGCCGCATATGATTTGGCGTATGTCAGGTAAGGTTCGGAAGAATCCATTCCGAGTTTGTAGAAATGCTCGTCCAATGTTTGCCCCTTGAGAGCAGGAAGGTCGAATGCGACAGGACCGGCGCCATTTTGAGATTTTCCCAGGAGCTCATGTCTAGCCAAATGATCCTTCGAAAGTGCGACTAGTTCTGGGTCCGGGATGCGACCTTTGTTTGGGAAAACTTGAGCATGGACATGATCGCTTAGCTGTTGGACTCCAATATCATTGAATCTAGACGAGGAAGGGACTATGCGAGATCAGTAATTGTGATTTTGTTGTTTCGTATCGAAAAGACAGGGCACCCACCAGAAAGTGATCGCGTTGTAGTACTATTGTCAGCGGAAGTAGAGGAAAGCCTTGTATGCCTTCTGTGTAATTGGTGCCATGATGGCAGCTTAACCAAGAGTGGCGAGCTCTGTCGCGAGAAACTCCTCGCGGCACCCCTGGAACAAGGAATGCAGGAGGACTTCCAAGATAACATCATAAGAATAAGAATTTGGCAGTGTTATGTCATGATAGAAGTATGGCCACAGCCGTGAGGCTGCCCTGGTAGCCCGAAGAAAATGCTAAAAAAAGAAGTATTGAAGATGAACGTTTCCATATCATTGCCTATCGCGATATCTCAGATCTGGGCGTCATGCAGGCCGGAATATTGTTTTCCCCCAGCTTCTGACCGCCTCCTACTTGCAGACAAACGCATTATGTGAAGAAATTCTGTCATCATGTTCATCACGTGGCACCGTATAATCCTGTCGGTATAACAATCTTCCGATGAATACCCCTCTATTATATTTCTGACCGCCTTGTAATTACAGACGGCAATACATATGTAGTGGGCTTATCTGATCCATTATTATCACATGATCTCTTCGATAAGATGCGTCTGTCATTGTCGCCATCACCTACTTTGATCGCTGAAGAGGCCTCCGATTCTGCTATATTCTCATGCTCAAACCCAGTATAGGTGCCTTGGGTTCTGACGAAATTTTCTGACTTCAGGGGTTCTTCGTCGTCCAACAGTCCTAAATCGTCCCACGTCCTCTCTCACATGGCAGCACAGAGCCGCAGACGACTTTCCTTTCCAACCCCAGACTATTCTCCTCGTTAAACCCTGAGACAACCCTCAAATAGTCCTACATATTTCCCGTCTGTGACAATGAGCCGAAACAGGCCCGAGATTGTCGACCTGACAACCACAGCAAGGTCAACAACCAGAGCACTCCGGCAAAACCCTATATCTTTGTCCTCCTCCCCACCTGGCGCCTCGGACCACGCATCCTCTTCCCAACATGCACAGTTGCCTCCTCCCCGTGGTGTCAAGCGCCGTCGAAATTGGAGCGACGAGCACGGCGCATCTTCGACTCTCTCCGAAGACGAGCCAATCGAAACGATCGATATGACGGACGACTCGGGCGCTGGAGCACTCGCTCGAGCAGTGGCCAAACAGAAGGAGGATGCCGCCAAAGCCCAGGCAGAAGAAGAGAGAAATTCAAATCTATCCGCTATACTCGCTTACAAATGTCCCATTTGCATGGAGACGCCCGTGGACGCAACGAGCACCTCTTGCGGTATGTTCTTGATTATCTACTATACAGGATTTGAGCATACCAGGGCTTTTACTAACTCCTCATTTCTAGGACACCTCTTTTGTCACAAATGCATCATCGACTGCTTGAAGATGAGCGAACAAACACGCGGCGGTGACTCTTCGAAACAACATAAGGGTACCTGCCCGGTGTGCCGTACGCCGATTTCGCGAAAGGAGACGCCTGGGAAGTCTAAGAATCTCATTCCGCTGTTGTTTCAAACGAGAAAGAGAGGTGATATTCCCGTGCCTGGCCCATAGAATTTTTACATCAGCTTTCCCCTCGGTTCTCTAAATCTTTGTTTTTCTCTCGACTCTTGCGGCATTGCGAATCGGAGCATGGAAATGGGTGTTGATTATTGGAATTTTGCATAAGCGATTTGCGTCTGTGGTTAACGACCTGGGACTGACGAATGGAGTTTCATTTGCTACCGATTTACATGATGTGTAGATGTAATTGTATCTCGACATAGACTATAGTACAATGTTTATTCGAAACAGATACTATTGCATATCCGATCGGTCCCTTCTTGCAGGATCAAGTGTATTCCGCCGACTCAGCGCACTCCCCAGAGCCCCCCGAACCATTGCATCCCCCTTCTTCCCCAGGACTACCTCAATGGCCTGCACAAGGGCATTAGGATCATATTGCATCCCCACAACAGTCTCCTTATCGCCATCCTTCGCCATGATCTTTCGTCCGTAAAGACGAAGCGTTTCAATGCCCATATGTGTGAGCCGCTCCCGGTCCACATGTGGCGTCCCCGGACCATCCAGATGCAAGATATGAGTTACATAGTTGGTATATGGAAGGGCTCTGTAGTTTTGAACATTGTCTTGTACCGAAGTCGTCGCGGGAGTTTTACTTTGATGCCGAGAATGAAGGATCGGGCCGCGTCCACGGCTTTCCTCTCCGGCGCTAACAATTGCTTCCACAAAATCAGACGCGGCAAATGGTGCGGATGGAGGCCCCGTTTCCCGATCCAATGATCCGTTCAAAATTAGGATTTTGTGTCGGGCTGGACTGGAGATGATGCTTTTGCCTACGCCTCGTAGGACGATAGCAGGGATGATTGATGTGTACAGAGATCCGATACTGTAGATAATGGCCTGAGAATCGTTGATTGCTTCCAGTACTCGTGGATTGGCGGGTGGTCGGATCTCCTGGCCGTAGGGGTTGATGTACCATATGCGAGTAATTCTGGAACTCAAATCTTCGTTCTCGGATTTACTGAACTTGATATTCTTGTTGCGGAGAGTTGCTAGAGATCCGGGAAGATGGTCTTCTTCGTATGTCGTTGGGTCCGACATTTCGGCATCCGTGTAATCAACATCGTCTCCATCGGCAAGGAGCAGACTCGGTCTTCTGGAGCGTGGGTTGTGCTCCAGGGCTGTCGCCTCGCTTGGGTGCGAGATACTGTTCTGGCCAACAATGACAGTTCCGTCCGCAAGCGATGCAGAGATATGGTGGGAGAAATTGGAGTTGATTGCAGGGATTACGCGCACCAGATCTGACGGAACGCCACAGATACTCCCGAGTAGATAGATGGCACTTTCGAAGCTTCCACTGAACAGCCGGGCGGCAGTTAAAAAAAGATTTCCCACACTTGCGGATGTGAAGTCAAATGTTGATGATGGCGGTCGGGCACGTTTCAGGATTTCCAGGTTTAGTACATTGAAGAATGAGCGTATCAATTCTTTCTTTGCGGGGGTGATGGCTGTCCATAGGGCAGATGTGCCATCAACGATGGACTGCCATTCATTGGTTGCGATGCCTGCTTCCGCAGGCAGCCGATGGTTAAACAATGCCTTGACTGCTGACCTTTCAGGATTTGTTGGCGAATCCGGAATCAATCGTACCAATCGACCTGTCCGACAAGTTAGCAAGCGAGTTAGGGGAGATCCTAAAATCTTAGGCTTACTCCGAACATCACCAATTCCAGGACCGCCGAATATTCGAATCAACTCGGAAGAGGATCCTCCATTGTCACTGATTGGAATGATATAGCTAAGTGGACAATTTTTGCTTTCACGGACGGCGTTGAATACGTCGACGAGATTGTTCGCTGCGCTCCCTCCTGATATGACAACAATTCCTCTGTTGGTCGCCATGGGCAAATATTTGTTCTGCTTTGAGCACTTGGGAGGTTCAAATTCGATACAAAGCCACTGGTAAATATTAAAGTGTGTATAAATATTTAGAAAGATGAAATTCAAGACATGGGCATGTCTGGGCCCGAACGCGCAACAATGACACATTTCCATAAACGGCCAACACAAAAACGGTCAACTTCAATAACTCGGACTTTTACGATAAGAAATGTCTCTTTTACAAATATCTAACAGATTAAAATGGAAATACACTCTATAGATTTTCTATGGTTGGCTATTTATAGAGTTAGTTGACTAAGTGACTTTATATAACCGTTGGTGTCCTATAGTTGTAGATAGACCAAGATCCTATGTGCTATGATTTTGACAGAATATTTTAATTTGGGCTTTGCTATGAATGTTTGTGGCATCGAAGTTCATGTCGACAGTATCTTCAATCCTACCTAATCCCAACATATTACCCCAGATCGAACAAGATCCCATAGACCACTCCCCGATTTAACAATATAAGACCACTAATGCCAGACTAAGGGAATGCTTGAACAAAGTCATCTTTCCAGATGTATCATTATTGATGCAAGCTCCGAGAAAAAACTCATCCGAAAGATCGATTTCCACCTGATGCCTTCGATCTTCATTCTTTACCTTTTCTCTTACATGGTACATTGATCTACCAATTGCCAACTACATTCCGCTAAAAGTACTAGGATAGGTCAAACATTGGCCTTACAAAAATCGCCGGAATGGAGGAGGATCTACACCTCACATCACATCAATACTATACAGCTGTGATAGTGTGGGTGATTGGCTATACTATTTCCGCGGTGCCATCTAAGTAAGACGAGAGCATCGTGTTCCACATGGAAAGTGCTAAGTATGTATCTAGCATGATTCTCTGTCGGACTCGCCCATCGGTTTTAATCCCAATAATTACGTTTGCATGGGGAACTGTGGCAGCCTTAATCGGAGCTGTCCGTCATCAGAGCCAACTGGTAGCCCTAAGATTCCTTCTTGGGGTCTTTGAAGCAGGGTTTAGGGTGAGTGACTCGAATGTATTCCATAACACTTTTGACATTAGTGAAGCCAGCTGTGATCTTCTTGATTTCAACATGGTATCGAAAGAACGAGCAGTATGTTCCCTGATACAACCACAACCACGAAACATCACTTACTCGAAGCAGATCAAAACGCTTCATCATCTTCCTAACCGCAGGTATACTCCCCGGAGCCTTCGGCGGCGTAATATCAGGAGCCATCACATCGACATTGGATGGCAAACACGGTATCCGCGGCTGGAGATGGCTGTTCATTATCGAAAGAGTCGCAACTGCCGGAGTAAGCTTGATCGTCCACTGGACTCTACCCGACTACCCGCACAGCAGTCGCGGACTATCCTCCGAAGAAGCCTCATCTTTGAATACGTATTCTTCCTAGTGCATTACATTGCAACTATTGGACTTCGTAATGGAAATACTAGGAATAAATGTGGAGTTGATACAATATATCAATTTCGTGCAACCGTTTATTATAAAACCTATCCCCATTGAAAACAACCAGATATCGTCTATGTCCCCTAACTTTACATGCATGTTCTGTCCTGTCCAGACAAGACATCGTCTTTATCAAAATTTAACATAAGCATCGGATTTGTTTATCCGAGCTTGGATTCGTGAAACAATAGGCTCACGCGGAATGTGCTCCGCGTGTTCCAATTTCCGTCGATTGCTTCAGTACGCCGATGTACACGCGTTCGTGCTTAGTGGGTAATCTGAGCAGCGGGGACGGAGGGACCGCTACCACTGTAGAGAACGAGCAGAATGAGAGCGCAAGGCACACCGATGAGGATGGCCTTGGTGCGAGCAGGGTTGCTGCGGTTGTACTCACCAACCTGGAGGCGCACATCGGTAGCAAGGCTCTGGCACTTCTCAGCACCGAGCTTGTAGTACACCAGACCAGCCAGGGCAATAGAGTAACCGAAGAACTGCTGGGCAGTGACGGGGTCGCGGAAAATGAACATGGAGGCACCGACAAGGAGGATATCCTTGAGGATACCAGCCATGGTCAGGACAACAGCAGAAGTCTTGCCAATCTATTGGTGCGTTAGTGACGGAATGGTTATTATTGAGAGAAAATGACTTACCAGCAAAACAACGGAAGCGTTGAGAAGGAAAGCAACCAGTGCGTTGGCAACGAGAGTTCCGATACCGAGACCGTAGATATCACCCATGGTAAGACGGGGAGCCTCAGCGAAGAGGGTGACGACACCGTTGGTGATGGCACAAGCCGGGGCGTAGTAGTACAGAGAGACCAAGGGGTCCATCTTGAACTCGGCGGAGCTGAGCAAACGCTGGACCATGACAAGACGGAGGGCCTCGAAGATGATACCGGCAATCTGGACTGTATAGTTGTTAGCTTTTGAATGTCAAATATACCGGAAAGATAACATACTAAGGAAGCCGACCATCTCGAACTTGATCTCGCCAAACGAGGCAATTACAACACCGACAACAATGAGAGCCACGTTGCCGAGGGTCTTCAAGTTGGTAGGAGCGATTCCGAAAGCCCAGGTGGCGACAAGGGTTGCGACAGCGTTGGTAGCCTAGAAAACATGGGATAAGCATTTGAGTTGAGCCTAGCGGTCGAGAGAATGGCCCGATATCGGAATTGAGGCCAAAACTCGCGATTCAAACACACCTTAAGCATCTGGATGAAGGAAACACTCAGGTAGAGGTATGCCAAGTTACCGCAGATCAGACTCAAACTGAACATGACACCAATGGGCACAATGGCGCGTCTGTATTGCACAAATCCACCGGTTAGCGATCGAGAATTCGGGTTGGATCCCAGCCGCGCTGGTCATTCCATATTGCATCACCAGGGTTGCTCACGTATAGGTGGCCGGGTTCATGGGAACCTTGTGGCGCGAGTCAAGCACGGTGGTGAACCGGGCAAGAATCTGGGTCATTGCCGTGGCGAACACCATGTGCCATGTTGTCAAGAAGAGCGCTAGTATCTCATATCAGTATTCGATTTCTCTGCGGTTCAAACTCGATTGGCGGAAGGACTCACGGAAGTCTATGAAGCAATAAAAGTTAGCTGCGAAGTCCAAAAACGAATAATAGGGGATCAGAAGGAGAAGGGGCCCATACTGAACTTGGCGCTCGCCAGAACCCATTTGTTGAACAGGATGACGCTGGAGCTCAGAGCAATCCACAGGCTAAAAAGTCGAGTTTTGGTTAATTCTGGTTCTGGACACCAAGGCCTCAAGGTGTTACGTACGCAATGTAGAAGCCGGGGTGGAGGCCGTTGTCCTTGGGAGGAGGAGAGCCACCCTCGAGCTTGCGCTCATCCGAACGATCGTTTGCCATTGTAAACAAAAAAAACAGTATAAAGGAATGACTGTGGTGAGGAAAAAGTTGGTTGAAAGGGAGATGATAAGGGGAAAGAAATGATTTATGAACGATCGGCACTTTACACCCAAACTGGGGACGCTACGGCACTTCCAATCAAAACGCCGTTTCAACGGGTGTGTCGCCCCAGCTTCCACGTAATCTCAGTCCCTGAATCTCAAGTTTCAGGGTATTTGAGATGGGTCAGAGATTTTTTTATCCCTGTCGATCATAGCACAGCCCGATTATTTCTTACGTCTTTATGAAGCCAAATAAGGGTCAATTTTAGGGTCAATTAAAGTCAAATTGCCAAGAATTTACAAGGAAGTCCACTGAGACAAAAGAAAAGCGCCCAATCACAATAAAGTATACACATGTACATTTGAAAATAGAGTCTAGGTACATATAGACATCTACATATTCGGGGCGTTACAGTTACTATATCACGTGATGAAGATAGGTATCGATTTTCTCGTACAACCTAGGATATTCCCATCCCCGACTTCCTTTTGACATTCCTGGCAAGATTCATCCTTTGATTCGTTTCAATGCGCTCTTCATCTTCCAACCACCCGCCATATACCTTGGGATCACTCGATTCAAATCCGGCTGAACAAGCCTGCTCTGACGCAACAGAGGCAAGAGTGTGACGTGGAGAAACTGGCTCGGTAGCGAGTGAATTGATATTGGCTTTAAGGGCGGAACGGCGATCTTCATGGGATTTGTTTGCCTTTTGTATATCATGATTCCGAGTAGGCAGGTCTGCGGATAATTCGGCCACGGGTTCCGACATAGTGTGCACTAGGCTGTTGCTCTTTGCAAAATCCATCAACTGCATGAGGAATGGAGACCTGGCAAATGGGTCGTCGTGCATCAGGTCACGGTTGTAAAGAACACCATGACTGAACACAACGTTCAATCTTTGGAAATAGCGCATGAACCCCAGACTTCTGGTACGAACCATATCGAAGATGACAATGTCAGCCTCCTTCCCCTGGAAAGTTTCGATCTTTCCTACTTGTAGCTGATGCCAGTCGATTGATGGATGGTTGTTTTGGCGCCGACCAGCTTCGTCGATGTATGATCGCCATCGAGCATCATACCCGGTGAGAATGACGATGTCTCCCAATGGAATTGCGAGACTCTGGTGGATCTTGAATGCGAGAACAAATGAGGTATTGCAATGAGCGCCGTTGGCGTATGAGCTTTGCACTTGCCTCTCCTGACCATGCTTGTGAGCGAGGAATACGACATTTGAATAAACAGTGTACTCTTGCTTGTTGTGGTCTCTTCAAATTCTGGTATGGGTCCGTAAGCTCGGGATAGTCCCATCTCAGTTGCTTGTTGGAAAAAATTGTATTGACCAATCTATGGATCTGCCCAGTCAATCGACGCTGTACCTTGACCTGATCTCTTTCAATTCCTGCATCAACGGAATCAGCAAAGAAACCTTAAGCTGCCGACGATAGCGATTTTCATCGGCGGTCGATGTGATTCCCTGATGGGCAGGAATGACGAGTGCATATTGTGGTACACAATAGATTGAGCAAGTGCACTTGGAGTTGCCACGATTACGTGAGCATTGTTCAAAGTATCCCCGAGTAGACGTTTGATGTCCTTTTTGAAAGCCTTCTCTTCGGTGGGTTCATTTCTGGGTCTCTCGTTGTACAATCTGTAGCATCGGGTACCATGACTCTGGCGCTTGTCCAGGTCAACAAAGAAAGCAAATATGGGGAAAAGGAAAGAGAGAGCAAGTGGTCGCTAGGGATTAAATATCAGAACTGATCAACCTTGAAAACAACTTCTTTCCTAAATAGGAATAGTATTGGAGAAGAAAGAACAAAGCAAAACGATCTCTGGCAGGTGATCAAGCCAGCCACCACTGGTAAATCATCCAAAGCTAGGCGAATGGACCGTCAGCAAATCCATCTTGTCAACATCCGAACCACCTCGCGATTTCCTCGAGCCTGATTCGCACATCAATCTTCAATCTACAAAATCGGACTTTCATATTCCCGATGAAGCTGAGCGTTTGACTCACCCAACAAAGCAGCAAGCAATCAGAGAGATTGAACGGATCGCAAGGAATCTCGACACGAACCCAGACTCCCAGAAACAACTCAGTATCTTTTGATCATTGACGCAAGGGATGGCCTACGCCATCATCTTCTGGAGAATAGGATCGGGGGAGTGCGACTCACTGTCACAGCATACTACTTCGGGTCATGCCTCGGAGTCCCGAGGAGCACGAAATCATTATTCACGCTTTTAACATTTAATTCGCGGAGGCGATGGCTTTCGCGGGTTTGCCACATATCAATGAGCGCTGGATAGGGACTGGCGCTGCAGTGAGAAAGGGGGTCTACTGCGAAAAGGAACCAGATTTCAGTATGGCTCCATATACGCATCCTCAGTCCACATCTGTCAGAGCTTGGCCGTCCCTTATTGTTGAAGTTAGGATGTCTCAATCGCACCGTTCTCTCCAAATGGATGCCGAATGGTGGTTCGAAAACTCCAACAAAAACACTCGATTGGTTTTACTGTTCAAGATCCACAAGAACCATTTTTGGGTGGATGTTGAACTGTGGTCAGCGCCTGACGGTACTCGACCAGGCCCACCTACACACCAGAATATCGCTATCGGCCCAGACCATCCTGAACAGTTCAAGCCGCTTGAAAAAAGGACACCCCTATCGATTACACAAGCACTCCGAGCCACAGGGGATGCAGTCACAGTGGTCAAGGGTCCGGGTCCGGATATTAGTCTAGACTACGAGCTGCTCATGTGGGAAGACCGACCACCTAGACAAGCAGAAATCGTCATTACGCCACGGATACTGCAGGTGATTTGTAAAGAAATCTACTAAAGCAGCGGCTGGAATTTCGTCCCTGCCTTCGTCCAGCGGACAGTGTCTCGACATGTCGGGATCAACAGACTGATATGAGATACGAACTTACGCGCTTGCTGACACCTGGGAACTGACACATTGATACGAGATATGAAGTTACGCGCTTGATGATTGGTTTTCGTGTCGGACCAATGGATGGGATCGCAACCTTCTTGCGAATGGCCTTTTTAATGTATTATCAACACGAGTAGACGGCCGTGCGTGGCTTGTGATGCCCTTTTTAGTGGTCTTTTTAATGGTTTGAGATATTCTGCTTACAACATATATGGTTAGAGAGTTTTCTTTATCTCTGTCGACCGTAGGACAGCTCGGTCTCAGCCTTTATTTCTTATCCGTGTCACGTCTTTATGAGACCAAATAAGGTCAATTAGGGTCAATTAAAGAGAATATACTCCGTACAGGGAAGTCATTATTACCGCTGGAACAAAAGAAAAGTACCCAATCACAATAATCTATACATGTACATCTACATCTAAAAATAGAGTCTACATCAATGTACATATTCGGTACGTTGCACGTTGTAGTTACTACGTGATCACGTGACGGAGATAGATACAGATTTTCCTGTCATACCTCATCAACCTAAGACATTCCTGCCTCTTACGGATGTTCAATCATTATAAACAATTATATAGGCCAACATTGCCAAAGCTTCCAACATGACAGATTTAAACACTGCAGCTGATTCAAAAATCAACCATGCCGCCTCCTTGAAATACTGGAACAGTGTTCCAGCCACCACGGGTAGCATGCTCGGCGAGTTCCCTTCAGTGTCACGCATTGACCTACAAGGGTCTAAGACCTTCCTAGCTAAGGTCCGCCGTTTGCTACCAGGCGTCCAGTCTGAGGGCAAATTCCACCAAGGTGTGGACTGTGGCGCTGGCGTCGGCCGGGTGACAGAGGGTTTCCTGAGCCATGTCTGTGAAGTGGTAGACGCGGTAGAGCCGGTAGCCAAGTTCACACAAGTTATGAAAGACAGCCAATTGAAACGAGACGGCGTCTTTGGAACTATCTACACGCGCGGCCTGGAAAATTGGTCCCCAGATAAGAAATATGATTTGATCTGGGTCCAGTGGTGTGTCGGACACCTCACGGATTCACAACTCATTGACTATACCGTGCGGTGTCGCAAGTCGTTGACTGAAAATGGTCTTATGGTTCTCAAGGAGAACTTGTCTACCCATTTCTCTGGTCAGGATATGTACGACAGTGAGGATAGCAGTGTCACAAGGACAGATGCGAAGTTCAGACAGGTCTTCGAGGCGGCTGGTATGGAGATCGTTAAGTCCGAACTTCAGAAGGGCTTCCCTCAGTCTTTCAATCTCTTGCCTGTGCAGTTCTATGCCTTGCGGCCAAAGACAACCAATTAGCCCTCCGTCCCTTCCGAGGTTGGGTCTCTCATTTTCCTGATCGCTGAGAGGGCCGTCTTGCAGGGTCCATTATGCCAGATTGGTGTCTGCTGAGATTTGTTATAATCGAACGGGGACTTTGATGGATGCCGCATGAATCCGAAACTTCCGATTCGCTGAAATGCGTTGATTTATATTCTTCACCAATTCGCATGGATGATCCCATCCATTGACCGTCATGTACATATAACCACTTTCCTCGATGGCCACCGTCGTATGAAACAAAATCAAAATTGATACAGAGCGTCTGAATCCGCAACAGCAAAAGGCGAAACTTTAAGTCGTCCACCAGAAACCACATCCCTATTCAATTTTCCCGGCGGAGTCCACACAACTTCCGCAACATTTGTCCTCGGCCGAGACACACCACACCCAGTGTCATCTCTATTATGAACCAACAACAAGTCCGGTCGGCACCCCTGCTTTATACATAACTCCGAATGAGAGGGCGAGAGCCCAATAGCCGCCCTGGCTCGTGTCGAGACACATTCATAGAGTAGTTCAGCGTCAGCCTGACTTCCAGCCTGATAGATTCCCACACCGAGACAGGCCAACGATAATGGATCGGGCAATCCCCAGGGTGTAAATGAATTGCCGACATTGTTTACCCCGATCACTGCATCCAGGTTGTATTTCTGGATCATCTCTAGGACTTGTAGAGTGCCTCTCGGGCGATCTTGCGGGGATTTGCAGTCCGCATTTGTGGGAGGTGATGCCATGTACATATCGCTTGTTGGAAGACCCACAAAGCTGACTGGGAGTTCATTTTCGTGGATTTCAGTTGCCAGTCGGGTCCATTCGTTCTCCGTGAGCAGTGTCAGTCGTGAACAATGACCAAGCATGACGCGCTTGTCTGTTGAGTGTGTAGTCCAACTTCGTTGTTTGAGGGTCTGTAAGACATGCCAAACTAGAGCCTCTTTGTTTGAATCGAGGTTGTAATCGAGATGGAAGTCGAGGTGTTTGTTCAGCTTCAAGGCGCGATCAATCGCCCATTCGATGTTTTGCTTTGCAGCCTCGGGACTGGATTCGACGTATGGTGTTGTCCCAATAACATCGATTTGCGAGTATTTATTTAGAGCAATTTCTAGGAAGTCCATGTTTTGTTCTCCATATTCGCCGGAGAATATAGGATCTTGCGCAAAGCAGACGATTTGGATATCACAAGAGTCTTGCCATTGAGTTTTCAACGCAATAGCAGCTTCTAAACAGATCAGCTGAACTGTATGGTCTACCTCCACAAATGCTCGCATTGCAGTGACACCTGATGCAACGGACTCAGCAAGAAGCCACTCTCCTCTTCTAATGAGATCAGAATGGCTGAATTGTTGTTTGGCCTTGGTCGTGGAGGACAAAGCCTCCTGAAACGTCCCGGCTGTAGGTAGAAATGCGGCATATTCAGGTGCGCTGTGGATAAAGGCTTTATCGAGGTGAATATGAGGGTGTGTCAAGGCTGGTAGGGCTAGAGGAGACTCGAAATCATCCTTAGTAGAAGGTTCATGAGGGGTCACAGCAGTGACTGTGCCCTGTGGAGAGTCTGTAGGGTATTCAATTTGGATATCCCAGGTGGACGGCTCCCCTGCCAGTCGAACACCATGAATGGAATTAATCTGACTTGTCAGTCGTGGAGGCATATGTGCAAGTGAAGTGTTGTCTGAGTTGAACCTTTTCCCGAAGTGTCCCCGCAGCGCGTGGGGGATCACGAGCTTACTGATAACACACCCGTTGACAACTTGGAAATAACAATATATTCAGTAGACTTGAAATGATAGCCTCGATAACCCTCAACGCATTTAAATTCATATACATGCAAATGCGAACAAAATACGTATATCTACCCTGGCACAGATCGTGAGGCTCTCTACTAAGCTCCCCGAACTGATACTCGCACTTTATGGCGGATTGCCTTCACCATGCTGACGATGATATCCGCTGTTTCGCAATACTGCGCCCAAGGTTCGATGCATTGAATTGCTTCTTTCAGCAGGTCATCGAAGTCCGGAACAAGGGCCTCTAAAGTCGGTGTAGTTTTCGCAGTCGAGAGAGTAAAAATGGCAGCCAACAATCTATATGTGTATAAGCAAGTGAACTTCAGAAACCCTACAAACCAACTTGAAAGCAAAAAAAAAAAATAAGATCTTACGCTTGCATTCTATGCCAGTTTGAGTGTGTTCTCTGCCGCATAAGAAGCGATGCTGCGTAGACAAATTTCCGACAGCTGTCGACGCACTTCTTGCAATTCGCGAAAACGAACTCTGGCAATACCGTGCTGCCCTGAGTGTGGGCAGCGAAAACAAGACTCGGGCGGCAGATGATGTGTTTTGTGGCATAGTACCGGGCGAGAATGTAGGTATCGTAAGGGTGATCCGCGGATATGGTATTTCCTAGGGTTGGCCGGATGGGATTTGGCAGAGAGTTAAACCAGTCCTCCAACTGGCGATCGAGCTCTTCACTGATTGTCTTGAGAGAGGTAATCGAATACTTCTGAGGAGTTGGGTTGCCCCCAGGGGTATCACTTGTGCGTTGGGGCGGAGGGCTGGAATGGAAACTCCCCTGGTTGGATCTTGCATACAGAGCACTGTGCACACGGTTGAGAAGCTTTCGAATCGAACACATTGCAAGGAAAACGAGGTGGCCGTTTCGGCTGTCTTCCGAGATTCGAGGAAAGGGCAATCTATCGACGAGCGCTTCAATGTTACTGGAAGGGAAGTGAAACTCTGCGAGGTCATCGCTGTGGGTTGTTAGTTGGATGCGAGATAATCCTAGAGACTGGACCCACCATTCGAGAATAAAACAACCCCAGGCAGTCCGATAGAGACTAGCTCGTTCTTCGACCGTGCTCATGTCACGTAGTCTGTATCTGTATGAATATCATGATGGAAACAGATATTAGAGAAGACACTCACCCAGAAATCATAATCTCCACACTACAGGACGCTTCACGAATCATTTGCCATGCTTGAATTGGGCGTCCTATGTGACGCAGATACAAAGAGGCGTAGAATAAAGCCAAAGGCAACAAATGGTCCCCTGTAAAGGGTGTTATCAACGGCCCGCTCAAGTAGTGATATGCGGAAGCGAAATATTCCATCCCACTCAGATCCTTCTCCTCTTCGATGTTAAAAATCCGTTGAGGGTTCGAAGAGGCCTTTCCTAGGGCCAGGATAATGAGATACAGTGAAGTTTGGATGCTGTTGACCTTGGTGTATGTTGAGAAAGTTTCAAAGAGCATATGTAACAACTGCGGCTCGAGGACTGGGAAGAATGGATGGACATGGTTGAGGAACTCGGTGATCAGAGGTTTGGTGATCTGAGGATGCAATCTGGATCTATCGATTTGTTCAAAGGCCTGAGGTATGCCTGCAGCCTGGCTGCTGTTGAATGGGCGCTTGATCGCTATCTGTTGGAAGAAGTCTTCAGAGTAGTCGCCAATCAAATTTTTGATTCGATCCAATGCAAACAAGCTTCCCGTTGGCGTATCATGAAGGGGAGGAATAGTGAATGTATATCCATGACCGTATGGGTTCTCGGGCGAAAAGAGGTTGAAGGATGATTTATCGTATACATGCTGCGGCGATGGGTCCCAGTCGTATTTTGGCTGTGACGAATAGACAGTCGACCGACCCGGATGATCTTGGGCTACTCGGGCTGAGAGTTCGGTGATGGCGTCCTTTTGTTGCTCGATCAGGGTTTCCAGATGGGTCAAACGAAGCAGGATTTCAGCTGGGATATCCTGCACCCTATGGATCGTCACTATCTAGGAACCCTTTTTTTTTCTTCTTCAGATGACGCTTTCTACCTGTCGCTTTCTTGATAGACACACTGAGCCCCCGCATCGGTGCAAAGGCCACATGTTGGTTTCTGGCCATCGCACTTTCGTTTCCTAGTCTACTTAGTGACGGAGGATCAAAGAAAGAATATAAATAACCTACCGATGCCGACAGAAATTACATGCGATTGATGCACGCTTCCGTGGATAATCCACCGGAGGGCGAGATTCAAATGATTTCATATTTGTTTGAAAGATCGACGTTTTAAAAGGTTCTTACTGCGGGGTCAGCACAAAATCACTAGTCCCCTTAATAATCAAAAAAAAAAGCCCTGGAAAAAATGTGATAGAAAAAGGAAATTATATATTCAATAGGATTTTACTCCTGCTAGTTGAAGTAATCGATCTGAATGTTCTGGAACTTCCAATGGTATAGATCGATTTCGAGGATCGATCTTACCATTCGGAAGATACACCACTCCATCACGTTTCACTATATTCTCATGTGGCCAATGAGTCGTGGCTTGATAAGACTCAAAGGCTTCTTTCTTTAGTTTCAAAGTCTCTTCCGTGGCTAACTCGTAAGGGGCATATGAGGCATAAATCACCGTTCGAATCGTGTTGCTGTTGACGGTTGGTTCCCCACCCCAATGCACAGTACGTGAATCCCAGACGAGCAAGTCTCCAGGTTCCGCAAGCACCTTGTGTGGTTTCATACCATGATCTTCAAACCACTGAATTTCTTCCAAGTTGAAATTACGGATGTCTTTCTGCTCCCAGGTAGATGGATCGGTCTCGGTATCGAAGAACCCCTCGGTTGCCTTGTTTGACCTCGGGAACACCATAAGGGATCCATCTTCGGGACCCGCATGGCTGAGATTGATAACACCTTGAACACAGTGGAGTCCACGACGCATCGGGGACTGGTCCACGTGGGGCCATGGTTTTTGAGCAGGTTTGTCTTTTCGGTTTGGTAGAGTGATGTTCAGCGCATCAAACGAGACAAGCAGTTCGTCGGTGCCCCAGATCTTGGCGAAGGCATCCAATATCTTTGGCTCCATGCGAGCATCCCACATGAATTTCTCATGAGTGACGCAATACCCATTGAATGTATTGATTTTGCTGTGGACAGGCATGTTCTCTGTAGTCCATGTGGAAGGATCATCAAGGTCGAGGGCGGGGTTGAAAGATTTGAGCCAGTCCAGAGCTTTGCGCTGATATTCCAGGGCCCTTTCTGGGTCGATGGCATTCTTGATGATCGCATAGCCTTGATTCTCAAGGTCGTCTCTCCAATCTCCATACGGACCACTCAGCCTAGTGTCCTGAATTAGTAATTGTCTAACCTTGGAATAGGGTGAAACATAGTAAGCTCACTTGAAGGTAGCATGATTAAGAGGTGGAGTGGTGATAGTCATGGTCACTGTTTCTCCCTGTAGAGTTTTAGAAAAAAACAAAATAACTGGGGAGTTACTACGCTTAAGTATGTGAGACTGGAATGTACCAATGTGACCTATCATCTAGTCATTGGCCAGCACATCATTGTAATATATTGAAGTCCAATCTGATGGCTCTTGGCGGATAAGCGGGAGTTGACCCCCGCCATTTTAGAAGAGCGGAGGTGTCTTAGACGGTCCGCATAACCGCCTGAACCAATCAGCCATGACATTCAATAGGAACGTTGAAATCAAACCTTCAACGCCTCAAAGTATTTCTCCATTACATCAGGGTCACCCTCATCTGGACATGGTTGAAACCGGTTTGAATAGGGCCAAAAGTCTCGGGCAATACGGCACTCGTTAGCCTATGGGGATTGCTAGTAACACAAGGTCATGTGGATGTTGCCAGCACAGCTGCACTCGCATCCGAGTTGCCGGACGCCACCTGGCACAACACCAAGGCTTCATGCAGAAAGATTTTCGAATATATCTAATTGGACAGTCTCTCTCTTGTTTGCCTTATTAGGCTAAACCCAGACCTCTAGATATTGGAAGCTCCTGAGTACATCGCTAACAATGAACAATCTAATGCTCACAAAGATTGAAAGATCCATTCTCAAACACATCGTTATTCTCAACAGCCCTGACACTGCGCTCTTCCATAAGTTCAAGTCTGTAAGCTTCTGCCTCTTTCATGCTCATCGCCGAGCTGGGTACATCCTGACCAGTTGTATCCGGCAAATTCGTTGAAGCCTGTGGATGCACATTATTCACAATTGTTGAGCTTTCCGGCGCCCAGTCCTCTCGCTGTGGAGGAACATTGGCAGAGGATATCACACGCCTGTGGGGATCGATGAGGAACAACGCGAGGATCTTGCGATGTCCGCTTTTTGATCTATCAGCCAACGAAAATGATGACACTTTGTGCTGAACAGAATTGGGGAATGTCAGGAGTCGACCCTCTTGACAAACGACGCCTCCAAGCTCTTGTGTAACTTCAGTTCCATTCCAGTCACCATTCGTACGCAAGCCATAAACATCTTGAAGAAACTCATGTCGGTCTTGCTCGTGTTCAATGTAATCCAGTTCGGTACCTCTTTGCCGAAATGACAACGAACTTTCAGTGATGTTCTGATTGTCGTAATAGTAGATTGCTGTTGCACATATGCGCTCATTCTAAAGGTTTAGCAAGATTGGTGCTTAAAGACCTCGGGAAGGTAAACGGAACTGACCAGTTGACCCTCTATATGCCAGGTACCTCCTTCATAGTCAGGCTTTTCGGGTGTTAATTCGATATTAGCCAACTTTACAACCACTTGTATTCCGCTGTGACCGAAGTACCCGGTGTCCAATGTGACTTGATACGAATCCCAAAGCGGGTAAACCTTGAAGTCCCCTGGCTCAGGGAGTAGTATCGGGCGGGAAAACTCCCATTCCTCGTGCCGCTCCAGATACTCATCTTCATCAAAGTTATCGTCGGCATGTTGAGGACGCATAGGCTCTGGTCCTACGGGATCGCCGTACTCAACCTCTTCATACGGGATTCTGTGGCGATCCGATCCTCTGGTCAAGCTCTGGTCCCAAAGTGGGATCGTTCTCGCGATGATTTTCTCGACCACATCGTACAATCCCCGATGTTCAACCGGGTGAACATTGTTGATGTAAGACGTTATCTCACATTCGGAATCGTTGATATCCACCTCACACGGGAGCCATTGGAACTTTCGACTGAGCCTTGGCTGAATATGGTAATGAGTCATCGATTCATGGTCCGAAGCGACAAGGCTCTCTTCTTCTGAGGAGATGGGGATCATAGTGCCCTGTCCCATACTGCTCAGACAGTCATCGACGCCTATGACTTGGTCAGGGAGAACCCGAGTTCGACCATAGACCACAGGAAACAATGAAGGATGAACTAGATTCACGACTTTCTGATCGGATCCAGGATGGTAGTCTTTTTGGGCCTCGAGCACATTTTCAAAAAGAGATGCTGCTTGTCTCAAGTCCTGCTGCAGTTGACTGGAAATGGCGTTGTCGGATTTGACGACTCCAACATCAAAAACAGTGACATGGCCTGTCTCTTGAAAAATTCCAGCTTTCCACTGCAGTTCTTTGATTATCCAATCCATCATCTTCGGCGTCACATCTTGCCCACTCTTCCTGATCTCCTCGCGCCATTTAGAAGTGATGTGCTCGTCGAATACCTGAAAGAGGTTAACACTATGAATGCTATCAAGTGGAACCTAGATACCTTTTTATCCCAATTGGATTTGTCTGTGATGGTATTCATTACTCGCATCATCAAAATTTCTCGGTGTGTCACGATGTCACTGGAGAACTTGCGTTAGCTGCAAAGCTGCCGCGTTTTTTTGGCCAGCGCTCACTTCAAAGCCTGCATGTGGTTCGGGTCTAAGGCATTCGGAAAGCCCAATAGGTCGAGTGCTCCGCCAAAAAAGTCGGTAATATTTGCCTACTTAAATCAACATATGCCGTGATCCGAAAGGGGTAACTCTGACTTCAGGTAAAGAGTTCAGGGGCACATTGAAACCAGGCATTTGAAGTTTTTTGTTGGCCATCGAAGCAACATTATGGGTTAGACGCCTTCCTGGTCTCAAAAGAGAGCGCCATTGAATTTTCATCATGGTGCACAGTTTTAGGAGGTTTTAGGGCGAAGAAGGCTGGCCGAAACCGACTTAGCCTCCGAGTCAATTGGGGTGCCTTGATTGTAAGGCCACTGATATCTACACAACTAACTAATTAAATATGTCTCACCTAGCAGTTACTCATAACTACCCACTCAAGCTATGGAACTTCCTTGCATTCTTTGCAAATATAAGAAGGTAAGCCTTCTAGCTTCAGAGGTAGCACTGACATGCAGTATGTGAGATATTTTCTGCTTTTGCCCCAGGTCCCACACCACCTTTTATCATTACCGACCTACAGCCTTACATGAATGAATAGCATGCTTTGGACGACCTTAAAGTCCAATTCGTTGTGATGACACGTCCAATTGATTTTAGAGCTACCCTATCATCGAAAACATCAAGAATTCCAGACCTAATACGACACGCTTGACCTTCACTTTTGCATACGAGGCCTACATGCCCACGCACATATTTACAAGGAGGAACAATCCAGGTCAAGAGTGATCATTACCCCGGCCTTTTTTGGCTGAAGCAGGAAAGACCTGAGGAGCCAAGCCATTTTCGGTCTGCACATTGGTTGAACCTGATAAAGTGAGGGTAGAGACGAGCAAGTATTTCAAACCCCATTTCTTTGGAACTCAAATATTCTCTAGCTACCCCCCGATCCCGGAATCCATGTTTATACGCACAAAGAGTACATATACAGGGCCCTCCAATCAGTATGCTGGTGGGTCTCGGCTCTTCCCGTTCCACTGTCGATCTCTTCTTTCTCTCAACGACCCCTGCCGAACGTCACATTCAAACGCTCAATAGTCCTTCACATTCCACTGAAGTCCTCGAGTTGAGACAAAGGGAATGAGTATATTCCCATGTAGTAAAAGCATGGATAACGTTCTGTGAATGCGTGGCCGCACAATCGGGGTCTTTAGCAAATGCTCAAGTTCTTGGCCGCCACTGCTTGGCGCTGGGAAATTGCAAGAACCGATAGCCGGGCAATCGTTATGTGTTAAGGCTCGTTCTGGAGTCTGAGCTCTCGGAGTATTGTTGAGTCGGTTTACTTGATGAATAGTGTCGTCTTCACCAAGGTCGCAAATGTCGAAAGGAGATGCAGACTTGAAGCGCAACTATAAAAGATCTCGAATGACGGGCAATCGTCAGCATATCCAGCAGCATTTCTCTTCCTCCAACGTAGCCCAATACTTCCCACTGTTTAATACCATGTTTTTGGTCGTTCATTGGCACTTGTCCATCATCGGCATCGCTGTTGGCCGCTGCCCATCTATCGAATGAGACTGGTGGTATGGTAGGCGAAGAGAAGAACAAGCGCAATGAGAAGCAGGAATGAAGCAGGGCAGACAAGATGTTCATGGTTAAGCAATAGACTTGCCAAAATCATCACAATTCTCTGAATCTATAAAGGGCCCTTTGAAGATATCATGTGACATGAAACTATTAGGGAAGGTGCAGGGGAGGGCCTTCCATTCTGGGAAAATACATGGAAAGTGACCCTATAAAAGGCCTCCCCCATCTTTCCTCCTCTTCTCTTCTTCTTCTCTTCTTCCTCTCCCAAGCCCTCGACCCCCATCTCTCCGTAGCCCACCTGAGATCGTGTAGAGGGTTGTGCCTCACCTACACACAAGGATATCAACATAATCACTTTGCTGAGGTCCAGTGCAGGTCCGCGCCTACATCAAATTGGTAGTTCTCGTGGATGTTTCTTGATAAAGTCATTGGCTGAACCTTGTGGATTCGTAGCCATTGATAGATCCCACGGAATACATTGGAGGTTGTTTAATCACCTCTTATTCTAGTACGCTAGTCACCTAGTCACCATTAATATGGATAACTTATTCCCCATCTTCGTCGACATTTCTAAACTCGTAAGGTAAGACTAGACCCTGTTGCAATTCGCCCCGATTGTCCGTCTCAACACCATTGTCGACAGAACGGTCGCACACGTCGAACGGCTTGGGACCAAGATCTTATCATAGTTGAGGCAACCTTGACCTGTCTCCCTACCGCGACATCTCGATCACTCTGCGATCAATACTTCTGCCACCTATAACCCAAACTATAGCTATGTGTACACATGATAGTGTTGCTGAGTCTGATGGTCTAGGTGGACTTTCGTGTCTATTACCTGATCAGCAAGTGGTCAAGATGACTTGGTGAACTGAAGAATATAAACCAAGCTTGTTTGAAATGTCTCATGTTTATGCCTCATCTTGGCCTGGTATCTCAGGCCTTCATCTTGGTTTCTTAGCTTCATACCTGCTTGTCTTCTTCCCTTGGAGTACCTTTGAAGTTGTCTTCTGCGCGCAAATACCCGAATTTGGATTCTAGACATATTTCTTTGTTTTTCCTCATCATTTTGCCACTTTCCCTTTACTTATTCCCTTCTTTCTCTTGACACCAGAATTTGATCTTCACCACCTCCAACTACCACACAGTGACAATGTCGCGAAATGCCAGCCCTCACGGGGCCATAACTGCCACACAATGAGCACTTGGAATCGCTGAGATCGTGGGCCATATCATCTCGTTTCTGGCGCAAGAGTACTATGACCCCGAAACGGACTTGGTCTCTGCCGCTCTAGTGAGCGAATTCTGGCTCGCTGAGGCACTTCCTGTGATATGGGAGTATGTCTACTACGCCACCACACTCCAGGATGTCTTTTCGACACTAGATCCCAATCGTCGACAGTTCTGTGCCAACTTTGTGGGTTTTGCACAAACACGGGTCTTCAATGGTACACACACCCCTCCGGATAGTTCTTGTGATTTGAGTGGGATTGTATTCCCTAGAATGACAGACCTTGTGATGTATGTGGAAGCACAACGTGGAGAATGCTCTCTTCCCACCCTGAACTGCCCCAATCTTCGTCGCATGACCTTCGACGGTTGGGATGATCACCCTTCAATGGAGAGTGATCGCCTTGGCCCCGATGATTGGGAATCGATTTTTTGGGACCTCCCGGTATGTGCTCCTTCTACCCTTTCACAATACGATCCTCGCTGACTATTCTTAACAGACCAAGTACCCTAGTGTGAAAGAGCTGGAATTCGAATATCCCCCTCATCTGTATCCCTTTGCACTTCGGCGCTTGAAGGCACGGCACCCCAAAGAGACTGAGGACTCGTGAGACAGTGACACTGCACGATGACGAGACAGGATGTTTTCCTAACAAGGGGGGCATGCTTTTGTGCTGGACTCCACATAAATCCAGAAGCTAGTTTGAAAAGTGCCAGCAGGTTCACTCAAGTGTATGGCTGAAGAAGGACCTTTAACTGTTTGAATTGGATATCTCTTTCATCCAAGCCGATAGCAATACAATCTTCTAGTTGTTTGTCTCTAACTGTTGAATTCAAGTCCTCACGTACTCTTCTCTTCCCCTCCACATCATTCACACATTTGAGTTCAATCTATCTTGTCCAACATTTCCTACTTGGTTAACATTAAAACATACTCTTTCATCAAATGGAATATTCCACCCAGCCCGAGGCCGCATCCCAGCGAGCCCTTGGACTTGGCGATATCCTCCGCATGATATTTTCCCGAAATACTCGCAGCGACGAGGAAGCGATGGCATATCATTCCGACTTGCTGAGATGGGCACTCGTGAATAGCCGTTGGTATAGAGAGGCCATTCCCCTGCTCTGGGCTCGCCCACGCTTTCCCCTCCATGTAATAATGGCAAAAGTCCCATCCGAACGTCGTCAATACTACGCCAATCATGTGGCTTGGGCACTGGTCGTCTACCACACTCAGTATCAGAAGGATGCCTATGCGGAGAATGGTCTGCTCTATGGGCTTGTGTTTCCTAAATTGACCAGAATCTTTGCGAGCCTCTACGCCCCGAATAGCTACACTGCTCGTAAGCGCTTTTCCTTCTCTGTGATTTATTTCGAGAGGCGTGTGGGTGAACTTGAGGGAGTGCCTAGTTTGGATGAAATCTTTTGGCCTATTACTGTCAGTCATCTTTGACCTCACCTCAATCTCAACTTATATTCACTGATTGCTGATACGAACAGAATCTCATGCCCGGCCTTAGGGAGATGGCTTTCAAATATGAGATGGTTCTCATAGAGGATACAGCATTCTCTTACCTTAAAGGACAGGCTCGGATTGCTCGGAACGATCAACCGACAGCACCTGAAAACATCCATTGGTTTTATCGAGATGACTCCGGTGAGCCACATAATTGGGAACAGGGTAGAAGCAATGGGGCTTGGATGGCGAGGAGACTGAGGATGTTCGCCAGCGATACATTTGATATGATGAGTAACCAGCAGCAAGTATGAAATTACTTGTTGACAATGTACTACGAGAGTTGATCAGTCAAAGACAACTCCATACAACACCCTGTTGATAGAATCCAATTTCGTAAGCGAGTTGTAGATAACTAGGAGACGATTCAAACACTTCTCCTGCCCATTCAAGGAGGCGAAGAAAGATATTCAGGGGTTGGTGGTTCATATTCATCTTTATCTAATGGTTCTCGTATAGATTTCTTAACAAAGGGGGAAGAAGGGACAACGGGAGTATTGATAGTGTGCCTGGAGAGCTGTTTTTCTTGAATAGGTAACATAGTCAATGGTCTCTTCTTTATTGTTTACTGTTCTCTCAGTACTTGAATACTTTGACTGCGCTTCTATCTTCTTGTACACTTACTCAACCACTCAATGGCTAATCATATTTGAATATAATTGAAGCTATTGAACATCTTGACAATAGCATTGTATACTTTCACTTTCACCTCACTTATTCGTTCATTTCTTATTAACTCGCTCATTCTCTATTGTTCTTCTGCTGTATCTCTCTCGAAATACAATAGCTATTCATAATGTAGGCATTCAATCGAAGAGATATATAAAACTCCATGAAATTCCTCTTCAGCCCTTCCTTTTCCTTGTCTATCATCAACAATGCCTCCAATTCGCTCTCGACGAACCCTTCGCCCGCGCTGGTCGCGTGGCATCTCCAAGGGAAACGCCGCTGAGCGAGTATTCAACATTCCAGAGCTGGTCTCTGAGATTGTCCACTGGCAGGTCCAGGGACTTGGCGGCTTCATCTACGAGAAGTCGCGGGGAATTGGAAGGAAGAAGCAGTGGGTGAGGCCAACGAAGTTTCGGCCATGGACAATGGGCCTGGGAACCAAGCGGGGGTCCTATGTGGAGGACCAGGCGGGTTATCTATGGCAATGCTCGGCCCTTAACCGGGTCTGGTATACACAGATAATCCAACGGCAACGGACCTGGAAGAACACTATGGGTGCGATGGACACGCTGGCCGTGCCTCGCTCACTAGACGTGATCTTTGCAAAGGTCCCCGCCCAATTCCACCAACAGTACGCTGACCAAGTTGAGTTGGCCTCGCTGGTCACCGTCGACGCCGGGGACGCCCGTGCTGCGGGATGTTCGTTTCCCAAAGCTGCGGGTACTGAAATTATGCATCCGAGGGAGCAGTCGCGACTCTGACATTCGGAGCCTTATGGATGGTGCGCATATCCCGCGCCTCCAGGGCGAATCCGTCACCGTCCTCTCCATCAGTAGCTATGGCGGAAGTCAGCCGGAATGGAGATGGCCTCTCCACGGGTTGCCCGAAGATTGGGCAAAGTTGTTCAGACGGATTTCGGTATGTTTCTGCGACAGCTCTTTCCGGGGAAAGGTTTATGCTGATACTTTCTCATAGGTTCTCTTTCCGAATCTCAAGAAAGTCGAGATCGGACACCATGTCCTTGTCGGCGACAAGGTTGTCAAAAGCTTCGCTCGTCGGCACCCAGCCCTTTGGACCCTTGAGCGGCGCATTTTCGGGCGTTCAATTATGGCCTTCGACCTCCTCGAAGAATCTTCTCGAATCTGAGCCGCATTAGGGACATTCCGAGGGTGGGTTCCCACGACCGTTGCTTAGAAAAATCGTCTTATGGAAAGGTTGCGGGATCGGGGAGACAATATATATGTGTGATACAAGGTCCCTGCCCAAGTGTAGGACAGTATCGAGTATCAAACACATATAAAGAGCTTCCGAAATGATGACCATGTTCGTTCAAGAGCGTGCCTTCGCTGTTTCTCCAAATTATCACGGCTGATCCCCTGGATGCTATCGACGATGCAACGACTTCATCACCCAAACAGCGGCATTGACGAGTCCCTTACATCTCAGGCATCTCACTCAACGAGAATCATTTCCCACACGAGCCGGTGCATCTATTCCCAGTGGGCATGCTGGAGGAATGAAAATGCGCCAGCAAGATTGGAAATTCCAGGCCTTTTGTCCCCAGAACAACCTCCTACATGGCTCGAACATCCACCCCCTATTCCGACGAGGCCAAATAGGATATAGACACTGATGTCACTGTCCTTCTGGGGAATATTCTGTCAGTATCCCTCATACTGCAACATGAGGTACGGCTTTATGCCATCCTTCTTCAACAGTTCACAGGCCCATGAAGAAGTCGTAAGTTTCTACGCTCTCTTCACAGATATCAATGGCTCCGGATACTAACTTGCATGACAGGAGCTTATTGAGGGCATCGGATAAAACTTCAGAAAGAAGGCGAGGGTGACCCGGAATGCGAATCGAATCACTCCAAATGACGCCCCTCGATTCTTTTCAACGACTTCCCCGGGGCCACACAAGAGCACGATGAATGTACCAGGGCTGGGCCCACCAGATGGCCCAAAGACCGCGTACCTGTGACAATCAGCTATTTGAGCTCTCCTGGCCATGTAATGGAGCTCGCAAGGACTAGGAGAAACCCTCAACACCGACCCGAAACCCCATCTGGATTCATCACAAATCTCCATCACTACCATCAGCTCTACCATCGGCCGCTGCCATGATTATGTCGGCCGCAAAGGCACCTCTCAACCCGGAGCTTCGCTCATCTTCCTTCGGTCTGAACGAGCTATGCTTCGATTATGTCCTTCGAGTTGCATTCGATGATACCGCTACAGGAGGTATTCCCTTGGTAGGCAGAACCTACGCTCACAAGATCGGCAACCTTTGTAGCAAAAGCGAGTCGGCCGTCAAATCATCCACGGAAATCTTCACACTAGGGCCGGTCGCCCCCCTCAAGAGCTTTGTCTATATGCCACGCACAATTACACGCCAGTTTTACGCATATCTATGGCTCTGACAGATCTTACAAACTCGAACAAACCCTAGACAGCGTGATCGACAGAGTCGGCACGGACCACCATCACCTGGCCGTGCTCCTCAGCGACGTCAAAACCAAATCGAAGACCTGCTTGATCAAATTCATGGACATTTCCGGGTACCATATCGAGTGTGGAGACCTCGACAAAGCCCCTGGCATCGTCGACCTAACTCTTTTCCGGAAAGCGATGAGAGAAGCTCTTGCTACAGCGCGGGATATCGGCACCAAGAATATTGGACGGCACAACTAAAGCTGATCCCCTAGGTATCAGGATCGTCAATGGGAGCAACCAAATGTCCATCGGCTTCTCTCTCGAATTACCTCCTAGGTCTTCCGACTCTAAATTGCCGCGATATTCCACATGGAGGCTCAATACGATACCATTTGAGAGGAAGGAAGAACAGTATATCGCAAAGCCGCTATTCACTGGCGATTTCTGAACCCATGGTGGAACTTTCAATGACAATGTCGATGTGAAGGAAATGCAAGGGGTGTACAGCATCAACAGCGCAATTTTCCGTGGAATTCTGGAAAATCATGGAAAACCCGCGCATATTCCAGAAGCTCGAAAGGCACCATGTGCAACATTCCACAGTACCCAGACTCTGCAATTGCAGTGTAGCTGTGCTGGGGCTACTGGAAACTTTGCCTCGCTATGAAACATCGGTTATCGGCCAAGAAGAGAGCCTCATCGATACGCGGGCTTTTCGAGGACTATCGGAACACTTGCAATCGGCAATGAAGGATGGGAAAAAACGATAGGAGTTTGGGACTACGGAATTCAGCTTCCATCTATTTTCCTCACTCGGGACGGTGGTGCCCATGGCAATGGCTTCCGTGGTGCTTTCTGTGGCCCTCGTAGAGGGCGAGGACGTGATGGTGCTTGCGGTGGATGGAATCCCTGTGGAGGTGTTTAAAGGGGCAAGGGACAGCTTGCTGATGATGGCAACGACACTTCTCGCTAGATGATTGATTCAGGAACAAGCACACATATGACACCTCATCGCTCTGTTTTTATCAATGCAGTCGCGGTGCTGTCCAGGGGTCGAAGCCCACCACAGTCGGTGAGAACGGCGGCGAGGCGGCCCCGGCAATGCTCTTCCTGTAAATAGCTTCTTCGTTCGCTATTCAAATTCATTAGGAATGAACCCCTTCCAAAAATTAGTAGGTATATCAATCATTAAACTCGTTATTAGGAATAGAATTAACTTGATCGAGCAGTTCTGAGACTTCTTATGGAGCGCCGTAACGTCTAAATCAAGAATGACCTATCTCTCGAGTGGCTCCATAGAGTGGAAATCACCGAGAATATGGACATAACCGTAGCCTGCTTGTTTAAGTTGGTTGAATTCTCACTCTGAACAGCTCCATATTAGAGAATCCGAAATCCAATTTATAAATAAGAGGAATATGAGCCTCATCGACCTATATATCCCTAAGAGAGAGGAGAAGATACCTCCATATGTGTATATACTTTTCCAACGCCGAGAGTGAAGCCATAACTTCCTTTACTCTAAACAAAACCCCCCAAACCCAGGGCCCTGGGTTGAAAAAACAACACCCGCTCATTCGTATGCTAAAGTCCTTCGTATCATGACGCGAGAAAGCAAAGGATATGTATCTCAAATCTCCTGCGCGTCCAAAGCCCACACCTCCCAATGCTGCAAAGCCTCCCATCCTACCCTTCTCACGCGCCGTCTCCACACAGACCCATCCTCGGACAGGGTGTATGGGTAGCAGCCGGGGTAGAAGGCCGTAGGATCCTCACAGTTTTCGCTTCTATTGAAGGTCGGCGGACAGCTGGGTGCTGGTCTGGGAGTATCACTGTCATCTTGATCGCGTGACCGTTTCCCTAATGTTGATTGTGGTGCGCCCGGTCTTGGGCCGGATGGATGCGACCAAGAAGAGATATGTGTCGTCTGTGTATCTGGCGATCTATGCGCGACAGCGGGTTGATCTGGTGCGCTGAGTCCGTTGATACTTTGCGTGGGAACAGGGCTGTCTGTGGTGGTCTCCGGGGATGGATTATCGCCATCTGTTGGTGTTGGGGTGTCTTTGCTGATCCCTGCTGGGATGGGGGCTTTGTAGAAGTCCCTTAGTTCCCAGGCTTTCCAGCCCATGCTGATGACCTTCACATTTCCGTAGACTTGTTGGTTGGCGAGGTCGTAGCTCAACATTTCGGACAAGATCGAGTCGTCGATGTCCACCACTTCTGCAAGAGTCTTGGCATTTGCGAAGGTCTCTTGCACCTTTTGAATCGTATCAAACGATGTTGTCTCTCGTGCGGACTGCCACTTCTTCAGCGCAGAACACCCAGGTCCGTTTGGAGACTGTCCGGGTAGCTGGGGTATGAGAAGCCGGAGCGCTTTCAATTTCCGGAGGAAGGGGATTAGTAGGCCCAGCGAATCCATGCTGGAAAATTCGGTGGCAAGGGCGAGCTGTTCCAAATTCGGACAGCTGTGGACGAGTCGCGCGACCATTCCGGTGGAGAGGGGCCATTTAGATGGGAGAAGGAGGTGGCGCAATGTCGCGCCATGATTTGTGGTAATGTGCGAGAGGTAGAGATCTCGCAAGCTAGCTGTAGCATTGAGCTGGCTAGCTGGAGAAGCAGACGTAATAGGGGAGTTGGTTGTGGTTCCGTTGGGTGCACCAGATAAATGGTGTTCGGATACCGGGGGTGTGAGCGCGGATGAGGCCGCGCCTCCTCCGGGTCGTGGGGAGTTGAGGAGGTCGCTTGATTCGGTGGTGACATTGACAAAGTATAGCCGCTCGAGTCCAGAGAAATTCCCAATGAAGTCCGAGTTTCGTCTGGACACTGCATCCATCCGAACGGATTTCATCCGGAGTTTAGCATGTGGTGGGACTGTCGGCCAGCTGCTCTCGACGAATGTGTTGACCAGACTAGTGCCCTCAACACCAGTGAGGAATGTGACATCTTCGACGGTAGTTGGATCAAAAGCGAAGTTGAAATCCTCGGTGTGGAAGGCATACAAATTCTGGAACGACATCTTCTTAACCGCCAGGGGCTGCTTGGCTGCGATCAGCTTGCGGAAGTAATCATGCAGGGAGACACTAGGCTCGTGTGCATCTCGCATCCGTGGCGACCAATGTAATTTCAATTCGCGTAATTTCCTACTTTTACAAAGAAGAGTGGCAATATCATCGGGGTAGCATAGCGGGTCGATATCGGTGATTTTCAGACATCGCAAATGCGGCATCCCTGGGATCACGAAAGTGGGCTGTGGATGACGACTGGAGGGAAACCTGATAGTTAGGGAGGTGAGCTTCGGCAGCTGTGTCAACCCTGAATAAACCGTGTCGAGCATTTTGGTGTTCAGTTCCCAATGGAAGCTTTCCAGATTGGTCATGCGATCTATGGCGGCGCGGGCGGCGATGTTCAACAACATCGATGAGTCGGGCACCCGGCCGACTCGGGCATGCTCCTCCAAGTCGTGCTCCTTCCATTCCCCCCGCAGTGTGATCGACCGTATCAGCGTCGCATAAGATCGCGTAATGATCGCATTCAACCCCATTGTGAAGGGACTAGCGCTCCCGATTCCTTCTGGTTGTTCGCCGCGATAACGGATTTTGTCGTAGGAAGTCAGTGTTAGGCTCCGGTATAGCTGCGGCAGCGCCATATAATTGAGGACCCGACATGTTTGACATAACCGGGCGAGATCACCTGTGTCCTCGACCTACCAACATATTAGATATGGACACGGGGGGATGTGCGGCGCTATCTTACATGTGACACAATCTCGCCGATGAGGTTCAACGGCAGAACCATCAACTGAGCACCGCCAGGCGGTTGAGTTATGTTCGCACCGAACATATTTCGATTGACAGCCGCCATGATGCGACATCCAAGGTGAGTTGTCACATGGATACAAAGAATACGGGGGAAAAGCACCGGGATTGTGAGTTCCCGAGTGAAAATTCTCCACTTCCGTAAGCCTCTAAGGTTGGTAAGCCACTCGGTCAGCCAAGCAGAGATAGCTGATTATGGATATAAAAGTGTAGCCTGTAGCTAAATATATCCAAATGTAGCTAAATATGTATATATTATATTCAATTCCAATATTAAAATGGGTATCTTTTTAATTTGAAGTCCTCCCAACACCTTTTTTTCCATCAAATCCTATACTCCAAAACCAAATGATCAAGATAACCAGGTATAACCAGGTATAACCAAATATAACACCATATAACACCCCCAAAAAAAACCGTCAGGGGCTGCTGAATCTGCATCCCACACGCCCAACCGTGGCGTCTATGTAGAGTTTCGGCCTTCATTAGGTCCGTGCTCGGCTTGCGGTCCTTCCGCTGACACATCATTTCGTTCGTCCGAGTATGTCGTATCTGTCCAGCTTTGTCGATAATTTGTGACATCCAAATGGCTAACGTCCTCGTTAACCAGTGCCGCAGCTTCAGGATCATAGTGCAAGACATAATCCCCGCCTCCTCGCTCTACGTCTGCCTCCGTCCATGGAGCAGACGCTTGTGGTTGAGAAGGAATCACCCGCACGGGCAAATTGGGCCGATTAGGGGCCGGTTCGTGGTGTTGAGGTTCTATCGGCCGACTCTCTCCTGGTGGCCGAGTGTCCTCCAGCAGTCGGTTTTGCGGTGACCATGTGTGCTGGCCGCGACGACGTGCTGGGATAACGGTGACTGGTAATGAGCCATCGGAGTTTTGGGGTCCAGTGCCCAATCGGGCTTTCCGATGGAGAGAAAAGAAATGATCGGCTCGAGATCGGGCAGCATTCGTTTCTGCGGCCTCTTGCGCTGCAGCAGATTGTCTGTGTTCTGAGGATTCTTCTCCGGCTTGTGCAGATGCCACTTCTTTCGGCAGAGATGCACGTCGTCTCTTAAACGGATGCAGGAGAACATGCCAGCGCGGATCGGCTTGGACAATCTGCGGGGACTGCTCTCGGGTATTTTGAGCAGACAGAGCATGATCATTTGGATCGGCAGTATGTGGTTCCCTGCTTTCCAGTTCCTTGGCTTCGTCCAATTCCTCCTCCTGCATGTTTGGCATTACGGCGGGAGGCGTAGGGCTAGCCACTGAATGATACCGTACATTGTACACTGTGCTTGCTGCACTGGTAGTATCAGCACGGCTAATCGGTGTGGTCGTCACTGGGGGTGGAGTGGGCCGGTTATCGTCTGGGCCCCGCGGCGCGGACGCAGCGGCTTGGTTATATGGTGGTGCTTCGGCACCTTTCTTTCGATTGCCGCGAGGTAATCCAGCCCGAGCTCGCAGAGGGCGATGGGCTAAGCCCATCATGCCACCCCATCCAGACGATGCGCCATTGCCGCCTTGGTCGGGTCCTTGTGGCGAGAAACGTGGCCAGTCAACTTCCTCTGATGGAGTAACTTCAAGCATTTCATCGCCGTCGAAAACCTCTCGGCCCAGAATCCCGTCTTTGGTTTCATCTCGTTCCAGCGCTTCGATGCGTTCCACCCACTCCCAAACCACCACACTAGCCGCGGCAGACCCAACCCATCGAATATAGGTACCCCAGCCAGCAATTTCGGGCTTGGCAATATCCAAAACGAAAAAGACAACGGGTATCAAAATGGCGCATAGCGACAGAAGCGCCACTAAACAGATATTCCGCATCTTGGGGTGGAAAAACGCGTATCGGTGCTTCGATATCGAGTAGAAAATCACCCAAGCAGCATAGAGAAGGTTAAGCGACAACTCGAACAAGTAGCTCAAAGCAGGAATAGCATCCTCGTATAACCTGGGTCGTGACGAAGAGCCTCCCCCCAAAAGTTATTCATAATACTAAACGTCGTATCCAGCACAATCAATGCAAACCCAGCCCATTTGATCATGACTTTCTCCTTATGTCGCGGAAATAATCGAATCAACGTCTGAACCTGCGCAAGCCACAGAAACGTGCTCGATATGACGCGCACGATGCGAATTTCCATCCCATCGATAACCTCCTGGGAAAGCGCCTCCGCGTCGGAAAATCCATAGTTATACTGTCGCTCGGCGACTCTGAAGGAATCGACCGTGGCGATGGTCAGTGAAATCGCAACCAAGATCGCAGCCACTTTCTGTAGCCATGGTCGTCCGCCGACTCCGACCACCGACGAGTTCCCGCTATACGAGCCTTTGATCATCCCATGTCGGCCGAGGAAATTGGCACCGCCGCCGCCGGGGCCGCCGACGTAGAATGTGCGCGGTGTGATGAGAAGGATTATGACGAGTAGGTAGCTAACGACGGTAGCACAGCCGATGGCATATAGCTGTGGGGTAATGGAGGAATAGAAGGGATCGCGGGTATCGAGGACGGCGGAGATGTGAACCTCATCGGTTGGGGAGCCTGTGCAGGTAGGTTCGAAGATGGCATTTTCGCTGAGGGTGATAGCAAATGACTTGTTGAGATATACGAGTCCTATCAAAACATTGCGATTAGACACGGTTCTAGCACGTTCAGATACTCGAGTCTCCGACCGATCTGCAGCAAGACGAGGAAAGGGGGACATACCATTACTGGGCAAGACGACAGGCGTACAACCGGGGGAATAGATCTTCGTCGTCGTCGGAGTTGGATTCGCCCAGATCTGGCGGGGAATCAAGTGGAAGTCATTTTCCATGATCGGACTCGATATGAACGGCCTCGAATCGCCGTCCCTGGAGCAGTTCATATACCGCGCAATTTCCACCGATGCGCCCGTGTCACAGACCTTTTAGACTTCCATTGCTCGAGTACGTCCGAAGGTCGGGATAAGGGGAGGAATGACGGCGGTGTGAGATATTCCGAGAATATGTTTTCTTTTTCTTTTTCCCAGAAGATCATAGATAGTAAATAATATCTACAGAGGGATTAAGAGGTAGAAATCTGGAGTCGAAGGATGATCCGCAGGCTCGGCATTGGCTCCTCCACAAATTCCTGTTAATCGCCACATTTCTTGTTCAGCTCTAAGCTCTATACGGAGTACAAAATACGAAGTACTTTATTTTTATCTCAGTGTCACCAATTATATGTCCATTCTATTGATATGTATAAGCTCAGCTGAGGCAAGGGCCAAAATTTACTATGTCAACTGATCCAAATCCAGCATATCTATCATCCATGTATCACATCGCTCTTCGCTGTACAACATTCATCACATGGAATCACTAATTCTCCATGGGTCTCATCAAGAGATTTATGCCTGAGCAGCAAAGCCAATCTGAGGTCCTTCGGAGTCGAAAACGACGTACTGACTCTTGAGGAAGATATCACCGAAGATGGAGAAGCCGATGCCAGAGTTGCTCTGAATACCACCGTAGCAGGAGGAGCTACCGGTCGTGACGGGAGCATAGTTGATGTGCTCACCGGGAACAACGGCGTCGTAGCCGTTAATGCTCACAGTGAAGTCAGGCAGAGTAGCGGAGCAAGGGAAGACATAGCCACCAACGGAAGAGCTGTCCTTAGCGCCAGTAACCTTCTTGTAGTAGGCCGAGACAACAGAGTCATCGACCAGGAGGAGGGTGGTTCCAGTGTCTATATGATTCGAGAGGTCAGTGCTGAACAAAACATGGATATCCACACAAGGAAGGAATGTAACTCACCGGCAATGCCTGTGATAGAGGGACCAGCAGCACCAGTGCCGACCTTGTAGCTGTCGGCGGTGAAAGTCCACCAGCCCTCGGAGCTGTCAACATCGGCGTAGACCACCTCTCCGGTGAACTTCTCCTTGTCAATGTAGCCAAAGTCATAGGTGCCAGGCTCGCCGTGCTTGAGGGTCACAGCGAATAGCGGCGCGTCAAGCTCGGACTTGACGTTGTCGAAGAAAGTCTTCTGGGGGCTGGGGCTGACGGTGTTGATGGAGCTGAAAGCCAGACCCAGCAGGCCGTCGTTGTTCTTGTCCTGCAAGAACTGGGCGCTGATCTTCTTGGCAGCCTCAACGGCCTGGCCAGTAGCCTTGACTCCTCCAACGGATACAGTGTCCTTGTAGACATCACCACTGGCAGAGCTGCCATCACCGTAGGAAATCGACCAGGTAGAACCGGCCAGCTTAGTACCGCTGCTGCTAACGTCGTAGATGTCGTGGCCGCTCTGCGCCGAAGTGGAGAGGTCACTAGAGAAGACCCAGCTGTATGAACTGTCAGTTGTTGCTCTCGCTGGACATGTCATCTCAACCAACTTACAGATCAGCAGAACCAGTGTCGAAGTCCAAGTTCAAGGTGGAGTCGCCAATGGTGACTGGAGTGAGGTACTCGACGTCGCCATCCTCGGGGGTGGTAACGGCAGAGCCGCTAGAGGCAGCAGCGTGAACGTGGGCCGGGACGGTAGCGCCATACTTGGCCAATGCATTGGCGTAAATGGCAGGCAAGTTGACAGTTCTGGTACCGGTAGGAGTCTTGTTCACCTGCTTCACAGAGAAGCCCTTACGGGGACTCTTCACCGGCACAGCTGCAGCTGAGGCAACGGCCGAAAAGCAAGCGAGGGCAACGGTAACTTTGCTGAAGACAACCATAGTGATGGTGGTTCTATAGAACAATGGATAGATCTAATAGAGTGAATGAAGATGCAGAAGAGGATGGATTCCAGAAACAGCTGGAGGCAAGACCTCCTTTATAGCTTTTCTGATAGAAGCCATCCGCCGGCGTCCGAGAGTAGAAGACATCAACTGAGCTCTCTATCGCAACATCTAGGGGAAGGTGATAGTGCTCTTCTAGGAAGGCAACATGACGATCCAGCAACTTGCAGTCGGGTCGAGGGGAAACTTCGAGATCGTCACGGACGCCATCAGCCATCCAGGATAGCACGACGGAGTCCGCCAAGCAGGCGATTGAGGGGTCAAGCCGAAAAGAACATAGCGACAGGGGTTCAAGAAGCTAGACGGGATCAATTGGACATGAGGGGACTAGTGCGGCCAGCACACGAGACCGGGAGATGTATAGAATGCGACACAAGCATAGTGCCCAGGGAGCTTGGTTGTGACAAGCAATCTAAGATGCAGAACGGAGAACTCCGGCCAAGACAAGGCGTTGTCTTGGAAGACTGTATCTTGGTACTCATTGGGCGAAGGCAGGTCGATCGCCATACTTGGCCATACTTGGCCATACTTGTGTGAGAGGACAATAGGCTGTTATTGGGTTAGCCGATACCAAGAGCACTATATCTTCTGTCATGCGAGTCACGCTACATGAAGTGTTTGGACCATCGAGACTAGTAAAAGCCCTGAAGATCTTCACCCGTTATGTCCACGTCAACCAATCACCTACTCCAAAGCGTCAACTAGGTCACATCGCTCCATTTGGGTAAATTGGGAGACGATTTTTGTTGGTGAATCATTTGGGATTAACCTTTCTAAAAAGCTTCTCACCGGGATGTGCTCTGAATAAAATCGAGAACAGGTATAATCTCCGACGGGCATCCGTCCCTGCATTGCATACTCTACTCCCCACTAGAACCTCGAGTCCACAGACGCGGTCAGACGATGTGACCCTTCACGGAAGAAGACCAAATAGCGGCTCTTATCGCCTGCGCCGAAGCCATCGAAGGATCTAGCGGCCGTCGATATGCTGATCAGTTCATCGTGGGATCGGGAGTAAGCCCGGGAGTAAAGCAGACCCTAATTGGCAGAGATGATCGAGTGCCATGCGATACTAAGCAGAACATAACAACGTGCCATCAATTGCATTACTTACAGTGCATGAAGAGACTCCCAGGGTCTTGCTCACTCATTTCGAAGGAAGTAGACACTGTAACCAAATATGGGACCTTTACTATATCACTGTTCTCTTAAACAACCATAGTATCGTCACTATAATTCAAACCAACCAGCCACCCGAAAGCTTCGACCTCCGCGGTTCAAGACAGATATCATGTGAAAGCCAAGGTACTCCGTATATTGTACTTCGTACTTATTCCTGCATGAAACAAGTGACCCCACAATCTAATATGCCGACGGACACCGCCGGATAGTTCTAGTGATTTGCACAGCCATGAGCTAATATAGCAAGAATATATTGATATCGGAGTTGTCAAGCCTTTTCCAGTTTCAAGCAAATTACGGCAAATGATATCGTATACAGCCGATTAATAAGAAACGTGAGCAGATCCCGCAGGGGTATATAATATCAAGCATCACGGGAAAAGGGGTACAGAACATGAGCTAGACTCCAAAACTCCAAAAAGGCGTAAGACTTGGAAGAATATAACCAAGTTATTCGTAATCATTATTTTCATCACAGGTACTGGGACGATAGCCCGGCCCCAGTCTCACCATCGCCATTGGCGTTTCCATCATACCCCTCGTTGAGGAGTACCTCGAGCATGTCAAACTCGCCAAGCATGGGTCCAGTCCCACCGAGACCCTGGTCAACAACGGCGGTGGAGCTATTGAAGAATTGATCAAGAGGCAGAGCAAACCAATCCGGAAGCGCGCCGGAGGTAGAGTGGTGGTGGCTATCGCCCATGCCTTGTGATGATGCAACATGGTTTGGCGATGACCTGTCCATATCATTGGCAGGGAATGTCGAGTTCGAGTCGTAGTAATTGTGGTACACGGACGGCGGAGGCGGCATGAAGGATACGTTGAGGTTGGACGAGTTAATCGGCTGAGCAGGAATGTTCGCCAGTGGATCGTGCGCTGATACCATCGGGTGGCCCCCGGCGCCAGGAGTATCCACATATCCTAGGCCCGACTCGCCTGACGTCGTATCAGGACCCTGGTTGGCGGACCAAGAAGCATTCGGGCCGTCACGACGAGCTGTTTGATTCTCGCGCGATGGTGAATGAGGCCGAGAGCCTGGGACCGAGGTGCGATCATGTCCCTCTCCGTCTGCGCCCCGGTCGTGCGGTGCAAAGCGCAAGAAGCGCGTTCGGATGCTGCTGGTGAGGAGCTCGAGAAGCCGGGCTACCGTGTTGCTGAGGTGCACGTCATCTACGACATAATTGCGCAGTGCTTCCACCGTCCGGTCCTGCAGGTCTAGAGAGACCCGCACATCGTCTTCTCTAGCACCCAGTGTGAATGTCTATAGCTAATATTAGCATTATAATCGCCAAGGTTTCCGTCAGAGACCATACCTTCAAGATGAATATCATTCCAGACAAGATTCGGAAAAACGTGCGAATAGGTGCATGTCTGAGACGACCTTCGGGGACGAGGCCTTCCAATACTGTCTGCAGAATTTTGCGCGAGGAATCGATGACTTCCTGGATATAATGCTCATTGACACGGTAGAGCTCATTCAACGTTTGGAACCAGCTTTGGCTGCTATTAGCCGGGCCCGATCCTGGTTGGCCATTCTGGGTCTGATTGTGACCCTGAGCGGACTCGTTGGACATGGTAGTCCATCGATCAACGACCGCTTGTAGAGCGAGGGAATTGATATATAGACCTGGTTCTACATTAGCTGTTATCCTTCAGCGAATCCAGTTGGGTCGACTTACGGGTATATTCAAGCTCAATCAGTAAAACGCTCCGCATAGCCGGTGAGACTGCTTTCCGTTAGCTTTTCTACCCATAACCAACGGTCAATTGACTTACGAGTAACACTATCCAGCTGCTGTTGGAAATCCCGTAGGTACGGTTGAAAGCGGTCGATCTTCTCACGATATCTCCCAGTCCTGATCAAATCCATCGTTTGATCACTGGATGCAAACAGCAAATGATTGGCTTGATAGACAATTTTTGAAATGCTGATCCAGCAATCCTGCATCCGATCAAGATTGGCATCAGCATCATTGGCATCGGCAGACGTCGGCGTGATATCCTGCCCCCATTGAGGCAATGGGAGCATAGAAGGAATCCCTAGACGTCCACTGCTGTGCGTGATAAACACAAGAATCAAACGCCGTAGTCGACGCTTCCGTGTTTGCTCAGATAACGGCTCATTAGCCGCCTTGGCATCTCCTTTAGGATCGAAGACGCCAAGCTCAAAAGCCAGAGCTTGCGCCGTACTCAGTAGCATCCATGACATCCGGTCCGATCGCCAAGCCGGTTCCAGCCATTTCTGAAACGCGACCCTTCCCTCAGAGCCTTTGCTGGTATGCTCGCCGTCATGGTCCCGACTGTGTGTCTGCGGGTCTGTATCCAAGAGAGAATTCTCATCGTCGCCCGGTGGAAAGTGCAGGTTCCGTGGGTGCCACTCTGTAAGGAGTAGCATAGCTTCTACAGTGCCCAATGACCTCAATTGCCCACTCGCACTACCCTTGCCTGTCATTGGTGAACTCAAGTCAAGTGATCGAGGTCGGCCAATGCCCGATGTCCCAGCGTCGAATTTCTCTTGGCCCCAGAATAGACGTTCAATCATGCTGCGCAGATATGCCCAGAGACGGTCGTGGATATAAAACGCTCGCGTATTGGCACCCTCGCCCTTAGGTTTCAGATGCCTAGACGCGATGGTGAGGATTGTAACCGCCAACACCGGCTCATCGGTGAGCAATGTGCGGTGCGTAGAGGGATGAGAAAAGTCAGGAATTACAACAGGGCTCATCGGTGCGAGGTGTTCATAGTAATACTCCACATAGTCCATGCCCTCCTCCACTGTAAGCCAGCCGGCACGGACGAATCGCAATCGCGACCAGGCTCGGAGTGCGTCAAGATATGCCGGCTCTGGGGGAGGGTTGTTGACTGGGCTTTCCCTCTGAGGGCCGGGGTCGGCGATCTGGGGATCTACCGGCCCTGAAGCACCAGCCGGGTAGTATGTAGACCCACCCATGGACATCCCTGATCGAGGTGTCCGCACAAAGGACCCACCCAGGCTTCGAGGCGAGCTGCCTTGCGGTAGAGGTGAAGGCCCCGAATTGAAAGACGAGACAGACTGCCGTGCAGCAAACCGATTCTCAAGGCTCTGGCGGTTGAGATCCTCTGTCCTACCTGCAGCCTCAGAGAGAAGATGTAAAGCGTCGTGGGTGTTTGTAATTGCAGGGGACAGCAACTCCACCGCAGTGCGATTCATCATGGGAGGCCCTCCATAGCTAGGTGCGGGGCGTTCGGTGACGGGGTATGTGGGAGCTCGTGATATTGGCGCACTGGGCGTGTACCGCTGGGCTGTAGGTGCAGGTGCAGGGGGTGCCTCGGACCATCTCTGTTGGGCACGCACGGCTTCATGGTCAAATGGAGGTGGATCGGAAGGCGCAAATGTCGGACCTTCAACTGGACTTTCCAAGGGTTCATTCTTGGCCACCTCCCCAATCATCATTCGCTTGTCGCGATGGAGGATCGCCGCTGCCTCCACTTCATCTTCCTCAGCATCGGAGGTCTTGCGCTTTCGGCGAGTTGCTGAAAATTCACATCGTTTACTTTCGCGACGACATCGAACACAGGGTGGGGGGCGGGGATTATCGACACCTTCGGGTTTTTCTGGTCAGTTCGGCCACAGAATAGAAGGGAATGGGCCCATACTTCCTAGGTCACATTTGACCTTGCGTTTTCGACATGGATCACAGGCCTGATATCCTCGGCGATGGTGTGCATCCGACTCCGCCTTGCTGTAGACACTATTATTGTCCCCCATTTCGTGGATAACAATGATGGGGAAGGCTCCGACACAAAGCGATGGAAAGCGAGATAAGCCTTAAAAAGGCGGTGGGGGTGTTCTTACTCCGACAACTCGGACAAAAAAGCCCTTCACATAAATAGAATGGGATTGTACTTATTACTAGAAGGGATCCCAAAATATTGAAGTCAGAGTTTGCACTGGACTAGCCTTGGAGACTAGCCCTGGAGGGTGAGAACTCTGCGGGGTAAGACAGAAGGGATATATCAATACTACATAGCATATAGCATATGTATACATGTACA